TAAGGCAGTAAAACTGTTTGAAACGTTTGTCTACTAAATAGAACTATTCTTAAGTCGATTATATGATTGTGATTAGCCAGTGAAACGTTTGTCTACTAAATAGAAACTATTCTTAGTCGATTATATGATTGTGATTAGCCAGTGAAACGTTTGTCTACTAAATAGAAACTATTCTTAGTCGATTATATGATTGTGATTAGCCAGTGAAACGTTTGTCTACTAAATAGAAACTATTCTTAGTCGATTATATGATTGTGATTAGCCAGTGAAACGTTTGTCTACTAAATAGAAACTATTCATAGTCGATTATATGATTGTGATTAGCCAGTTCACATTAACCAATTGTTGTAAACATCTTCTAGTTTCCTGACTCAACATTTCTTTTTAATTTGAAACTTCTTTTTCTGTCAGAATGTTTGCGTATGAGTCTCTCTTTACGTATATGGGTAGAACGTAACAAGATTAAATATATCATAACTGCTACTCGGTCGTGAAGCGGCGGATGTTTTCTCTCAGTGTTTAGAAGTTCTAAATTAGGGTCTCTGACCTGGCCGTTTAGCGAAAGACTATTGAATTCAGAACACGTTTTTCCGTTGTTTTCTAGTTGAAAGATTTGAGACATAATTCTACATATCTAAGATTTGTGATGAAAATCTCGTAAACCACAGGTGTTTTCGTTTTACATTCATCTTAATTTGTTCATTTCGACTTCAAAATCAAGTGTATTAAAAGATAGACCTGAAATGCTATTTTAATCTGAAATTTGATAATCTTATGTCTAATCTTTGTTTGAATAATAAAGACTTGAGTCTACTATTGCACGTTGATGCAATGACTTGAAAGAAATCAGTGATCTATATAAAGAATATGATTGGAAGTTTGATAACCATAAAAGGAAAAGGACTATGTTAATCGGTTGCGATGGAACTGATCAATTACTTCAATGACTTGAACATAGGAGTGATAACTTCATTTAAGAACATGTGCGTCAGCGTTTACGTAATACGCATTCTAAGCTACAAAAAAAAAATATCATGTTATTTTAGCTACGAACTCATTCGCGTTTCCAGTGAAAGATAAAACAGTACATGTGCATTAGATATATTAATTTCTATGTAGCAGCCCTCACCTGAAGGGTTATAACGCTAAAAAATCAGGTTTCGATACACATGGCCCATTGTGTAGCTATCTGATTAACGACAAACTAATAAACTATGTAGCAGGGTCGTATAAAACATAAATGATAGTGTGTAATAAACAGTTTTTCTTTAACCGACTCTCGTACAGAAATATTGTTATTGGACATATAAAGGACCGAAATACAGTGTACAAACCTGCTGTCGGGTCATCAAGATTACATCAGTATTGTCAAAAAATATTTACATAAAGCAAAAAAAATATCTCTTCTTCTGTTTTTTAATTATTATTATTAGCAATTTCTTTTAAAAACATCGGTCAGATTAAACTGGATTTTCATATTTTTATTGATGCTCTGTTTCATATTCTCGCGCACTCGTGTAGCTTTTCAACAGTAAACAAGTGTCCGTATGACCGTACGACTATACTAAAACTTTTAAAACGCGACGCATCATTTAACTGAACGTGATAGTAGAATGCCACGACTTGTCAACCAGTATTCAGTACTGATTCACTGGCCCTCCAGTGGCACAGCGGTATGTCTGTGGACCTACAACGCTAGAAACCGGGTTTCGATACTCGTAGTGGGCAGAGCACAGATAGCCCATTGTGTAGCTTTGTACTTCAACTAAACAATAAACAAACTGATTCACTGCGACCTTGCTCTTCACATACCATGAACACTATGTGACACGTGCAGTTGTTGAATGACGAGGGACTTCTAGGTGATCACAGTACTAGGATGTTTTCGAGATTTTTTTTTATGTCTCTGAGTTTTGTTTCTTACCAGTTTTGAAGGCGATGATAATAGATCTTATATCAGCCGCTAAGCTTGCAGAAGGGTGTTCATCCGAAACGCACAGTATCACCTGCTAAACCCGAAAGAGGGCGTTCACCCGAAACGAGGCGAAGAGGAACAAATATATAACATATATATATATATATTTGCTAAAACTTGAGGGAAATAAATTATAATTATTATTTTTATTTATTTATTTTGTATTTACTGCTTTTCCAGAATACTTCGGACTTGCTCCTTACCGGTTCCAATGTTATTGATAGTATAATATCCGCTATATTAACCATTTTATTTATTTTTACGACATTTTTATAACATAAGAAATTATAGTATTTTTAATATAATTTTTACACCTTCATAGGTTGTATCATACCGGGTTATGTATATGGAAATTTAAAACCATTATATTAACATTTAAAGCTTCAGAAAATCGAATTGCAGTGCCATGCCACGTGAATGGTAAGCTTTTCGAAAATGTTAATCTTACATTGGAATTGGTTTCGATATTTACAAAACTTGAAACGCTTGATAAGAATACTTAACAGGAACTTAAGGCTAAGCAATGAATTTATTTTTTTCTCTCGCGTTTTAAGTATTAAATCAATGACATGTTATTGCCTTGAATGTTTTGTATGGCTTTATTATATATTTTTATAATTTTTTCGATTCCAATAAGGTAGAATATAATTACGCGTTCAAAATCGCATTTGACATTCTTCAGTCCAATAAATGTTGCTCAGCGTGTTGCCAAGTAACCAAGAAACGTTGTCAGGGTGACATCTCAACTATAAATTGTTTACTGCTCATCGATAACCAATAATGAGAAGTGACTTTTACATTTTATTCAAGAAACGCCATCCGGTTCACTTGGTAAGCAATCGGCATATTTTGTTTTGTTTGGGCTGATGAGGTTATTCTTGAAAACAAAAGTACGGTGGTTTGTACACGTTTTTCTCCTACCTGTCGTGTTGTGTGCAGTGAAATGCACCTGATATTATTTAGTTTCTGCTGTATTACCTCAGATGAGATTAAGTATCTTTTATGATGATTGTTATTTCCTTTTGTTAGGTATATGTACTTTGTGGACGAGCATGGCCTCGTGATTAACGTGTCGTACTATGAATCAGAGAGTCCAAGATTCGAGACGTGGTACCTCTCTCGGCTCTGGGCGCGTTATCAAAATAGGCCAAGTCCATTATTCAGACCCCTGGCTTGGCCTAATGGTTCGAATGCTCGACTCGCAATCTACAGTTCACGAGGTTTAAACCAGTCACCGGATATTCTCCATATTCCAGCCGTCTGTACGACTGGAATATGGAGAATATGTGACAGCTAATTCCGGTATTCGTTAGTAACAAAGAGCCAAAACGTTGGCGATGGGTGGTGTTGACTAACTACCTTTTCTCTAGTCTATCCCTTCAAATTTAGGGAAGGTTAGCGCAAATAGCCCTCAAATTGCTTTTCACGAAATTCAACAAACAAACTTCCGTTATTCGGCTAAAAGAGCCGTTCAAAGCCCTTTACTGCGGAGACTATAGCTAGCTGCCCCCCAACCCCACCTCGGTCAGAGACTGCAATACTTGAACCTTTGGGGTCTATGACCTGGCTGTTTATCCAACGTGCGCATAAGGTGTCGTTCAGGCCGAAAATTCCAATTCCAAATGTACTGTTACACTCCTACTTTCTCATAGTTTAGTATTTGTAAAGCGTATGACGTCAGGGCATGATATTTTTTCTGGTACTATGCATAATACTTGCCTATTAAAACTACCACCACAAATTAAACTGTTGTATCATAAGGCTTAAAAGTTATGTGTAGAAATATACACCTTTAGCCTTCGTAATAGTTGGTACAGTAGTTTTGAGATATATGTTAACAAACTATAAAAGAACTAGTGAAACATCTGTTAACTACAATGCAATTGAATTGTGTCGATGTTTCTTCCCTTTTTTAACAGACCGTAATCAGTTTTTTATTTTGCATCTTTACTTAATGCATTTGTACAACTCTAACAGAACATCGTGACTCTGAGATGATAAGGACTATGAAATGAAACAATATGTTAGATTATTTAGGTTAATAGCTTCGTATTTCCTCTACTAGGTGTTGGACTGGCTATGTCATGCAGGGCAAGATGCGCTTGACAAACATCAATCGGTTGCAGATACCTTGCCTGGTATTAAAGAACAAGAAGGAGAGTTCGAGAAATTTTATTTCCTAGCGATGGTAAGTGTGTATTACGTTTGTTTTTTTTTCCTTAGAAAGAGAGTAAATAACTCGGAAACAGAAGCTCCTACGTTCAAGTGTGAGCACAGTACTGTTGCATATATTTGAACATCTTTCTTATTTTGGAAGGATTACTCTGCATTCAATTTCTTCATTGCATGTTATTATGTAAAATTCAGTTTTACCGTGACCAAGTTAAAAAAACTTACGAGCTTTCATGCAAGTAAATCTAACTACAACACTTCTCGTTTTAATGTATCTCGGTATAATGAAATCTCCGTTAAAATCTATTCATGATAATGAGGGATTGTCCCCCCCCCCGAATGTCTCAACTGTAAGTCTGAGGGCTTGTAACACTAAAACTCGAGTTTCGCTATACTTGGTGGGCAGAGCTCGGATAGCCCACTGTGTTTATCAACACACAAACAAAAATAAACACGTAGGATCAAACATTAAACTAGAAATTAGTAGAGCCGATAACCAAACACTTTCACAAGGCAGATATTTGTTCTTCAATAATGAATAAGGTTTCTTATTTTCAGATTTGTTAGAATATAGATTTCCATTCATAACATTTGGTGTTTGTTTATTTTGTTTTATTTAAGTGCAGAGTTGCACAATAGGCTGTCTGCGCTATGCTAACCGAAGGGATTGGACACCTTAATGTAGCGTTTTAAGACCTCAAAATTACAGCTGAGCCACTGGCTAATATTATGTGTATTAAAATTATTTTAGATTTTGTTTTGTAACTAATGCCTAGTACGTAATGAATTAATTAATTTATTATGAAATCCCATTTCATTGATTTGTATGTAATTTAATAATAAACATTATATTTTTTTAAATCTAACTATATGTGTGTTTCGGTAAGTTTCTTTATAATATCGAACTTGAGAAGAATGGATTAAGATTAAACAGAATGTAATTAATTAACAATATTCAGCCCAATTATGTGTTGAATTTATAATTGTAAATATTTTCATCTAATAAAGAACGTAATGCAACCAGTTTTTATCCACGAATTTAAAATTGTAGTTCAACTGTAATTAAAATACTTGCAAATAGGAAAAATATAAATTTCTAGAGCTAAATTGCAAGAATTGACCTTTAGCCTATAAAACAGTTTAAAACTAAATTAATAAAATATGTATGTGTATTTTATTATAACTTACCAAAATTTCCATGTTCATCAGTATATTAAGTTTCTTACTGGGGTAAAATATTTCTAACTGAAAACAGAGAAAATCTTATCTTTAAGTCGTGATATGAAAACAATAACGTTTATAACCTGGCTGACGCATTATAGTTAACATTTGAAAACAATAACGTTTATAACCTGGCTGACGCATTATAGTTAACATTTGAAAACAATAACGTTTATAACCTGGCTGACGCATTATAGTTAACATTTGAAAACAATAACCTTT